CAGCTACGACATCCAACTGAACACCGCCGGTGAGAGCTTGATATAGCCGAAGGGGGTGGATCGGTCGCTTCAGATACTCGGTAAAGTTCCTCAGGTTGTGGATCATCTGAGGCGTTGACTTTGTTTGTCCAATGGCTCCTTGCATGTGCTCGATGGTCGTCTTGAGGTCTGACTTGAGGAGGTCCTTTCGGGGCATCCTCCTTGCCAGTACCGTAATCTTGTCCACAAGCTGCATGGCATTGCGCTTCTCAAGCTTCTCCGGGGGGCAGCCATGGTCTTGAACCTCTCCAGCACCGACACCAAGTTTGAGACCGTGAAGGTCGTAAAGCACTTGCCCCAGATAGTCTTCCCAATTTTCAATCTTCTTGAATTTGAGCAACTCGACGCGCATCATCTTCAAGAAGATCTTGTTCGAGGCTTTGCAGCATTTCCTGAGCCCGATTACTTGGTGAATTGCAGATAAGAAGTCTGCCAACTCCATCTCAGGATTGGGGAATATCTTTCCGTTTTGGTTTACGCCGACCTTGACGACCGTGTACTGGAGGCACCATACACGCACTTGAATCTCACGCAACTTGTTGAGGAAAGGCTGAAATGAGGGACTACTCGGCGGGACACGTGTCATACCGACGCGAATCTCGTCCTCGTGCATCGCCGATACGTGGAGCATGCAGCTCAATTTGATGAGAGCAGCCGATGTCGACTTTAGATGGTCTTCGTCGACGATGTCGTAAGCTGAGCTGTCATTCAAAGCCAGGGAAAGTGCAGTGATCAGCAGATCATCCAGCGATTTGAGCATCTTCAACACTAACGGCGGTCTCGTTTCTGGGGCGTTCTTGAGATAACTGTCGCTTTCCAAGTCCGCCGTGAGCATCTCAATGGCTTTGAGCTGGCATGAAAACTGTTTCGTCGAGTACTTGATACTGGCATACGCGTCGCTAAGTCGTGTCCATAGGAAAAGACGCAATTCCGTGCTAGTCCCCAGTAGAAACCTCCAAAGATCCTGGAGGCTCTGGCTTGCACACTCTTTGATGGGCACTTTCTTCGTTTTGGAGCGGCCAGATGACTCTTCTCCGTCTTCTGCCGAATCTCCCGATGGTAGGGTGACATAAACTGACCCTGGATTCAGGACGGGCTCAAGGTTATCAATGACAGCGACTGGGTCGCTAACATTGTCCTGGAAGAGCCCGAGGAAGAAATCCATCGTGGTCAGTTTTGAGATCTCTCTATCGGCCGCCGCTTCCGAGATCTCGGGTATCACCGGATTATTCGGAAGGAGTAGTTGATCGATACCACTTTCTGCAAGGAAATCTCGCAAACTGGTCCAGCACTGTAGAATGTACTCTCTCGACGCGTTCTCCGTAAGAGTCGTCGAAAAGATGGCAGCCCAGAGGAAGCGGCCAGTCAAGTTTTCATTGCCTTCTTCTGCGGCGTCCCTTAGCAAAGCCGAAGCCATGTCTAACCACCGACCCAGGCGACCCCTGGCTTCAACGCGGATGCTATAGTCAACAACGCTGTTGGGGTTGGTGATCCTCTCATACACATCCAGATGGATCTCGAAGAGCATCTCGACAATGTTTTTAACAAACCCGAATTCCTTATTGGCATCGTCTGATTGTCTCGCGCGGTCCAAGTCGTAGTTGATGGCTTGAAGGATATCCTGGTCAAATCTACTTATGACTTGGACGACGGCTGTCTTCAAGACATCTGACCACTTCGTTTGGAGATAGCTGGGACATATCCTCTTGATCCATTCGTACGCAACGTCTTGGGCAGTCATCCAGGAGGAATTTACTCGCTTTACAAAAGCAGTGATGCCCTGTGTGTCCTTGAAGGGTGGTATGATTGACATTTTCTGGGAACCGCCTTTGGCATGCTCAAGAAAAGATGACAAGCTCAGAGATGCCTGTGCCTGTTTGTTGAGCAATATTTTCGCATTCTCCTCGCTGAAGGAGACGATCGCATTGCGAAGATCCATGGTCGCTTGGTTTTTGATGGAAGCGCCGCGTTCCTCTGCAGCAAGAGAATCCAACACTTCGCTGATTCGGTCTAGAGTGTCCTGATTCGTGACTCCGATGTTTTCCAACATGTTCTTGGTAGCTTGGAACAAATTTTGGTCGGTGGCTTGATAAGGGGCCAGCTGGGACGCAAGAACGGCGCTTGGGTCTGGAACTTCTTCTGCGGCAGCTGTCTCTCGCCTCCTGATACGCTTGCTCCTTTTTTCGACGAGGCTTTCCTCCTCTTGACCCTCGGGAATGCCAGCTGCTGAATGTGATCGCTTTCGAGAGGGCTGGGAGGCGCTTCGACCCTTGCGAGTGCTCTCAGCAGGTTTGGGGGTTTCCTTCGCAGCGGGCTCCACGCTTTCTGTCTTTTCTGTGGTTTCCTGCTTGTCCTCCTGTACCGAGTTCTCGTCCTTTTCTTTGCCATCCGAACCGTTTGCTTGTACATCCTGCTCTGGTTGGCTTTCCATAACAATGTCATCATCGTCGTCCGTTTCAGGGAGCTGAATGACAATGCCGCGGCTGGTCTGCCCCATTTCGAGTATGAACTGCACGAGTGCCATACCCAAATCGGCCCATGATGCAGTTGGGACCTCTACAGTAAGACGGGCGAGGCCTGCTTCTTCGACATTGGTGCGGGCGGACCCGGTTACCTTAATCAGATTCGGCAAGTATGGTATGGGATCGATGTGTCGTTTGATAAACTCGGGCATTTCTCTCTTTACCCAAGGGCCCATAATGGGGTGAGACAAGGCGATCTCGTCCGATAGGGCTTGCAGCTGGTCCTTGAGTTGTTGACCTGCGAATCCTTCTGCCAAAGATGGCGGCTCGACCTCGAGAACAGCGGGATCATCGTCGAGTTCGATAGCAGCTTCGAGGCAGTATCTGTTAATTCTCGAGCTCTTCAACGACGCAGCAACACGGGCCGTACGGCGCCACAGTTCCGCATCGGACGGGTCGCGGTCAAGGGCGGCATTGAAGTCGACGAGAGCGCTGTGCATATTTTGGAGGGCATCGTCCTTCTCGAAGTAAGAAGACGCATCGTCTCCGGCGGTTCGGGCGGCATGGCGAGTGCGATCAAGGAGAAATTGACCGCGATTCTTGTATGCAAGGAAGAAGGCTTGGGGGAGACTGCTGCCGGTGGTATCAACATCGGCGGATTGGAGGTCGAGACTGCCGGCGAGAGCGGAATCGGCGAGTAATTGATCTGGCTGCCTTTCTGCCCTTTCGTACTCGGTAGAGGCCTCGGGGTATTTGAAGATTTCGGACTTGAAGAGATCGTCGTAGGCGTCGGAAGCTTCATCGAAGAATCGAGGGCCTTGAGCATGCAGCTTCAGGGCATTTTGGAAGCGCTTGAGAGCTTCATCGACCTGGGCAGTGGTCAGTACAGATGGGAATATCGGAGTAATTCATTGGCGCGTACATGAAGCTCGCGGGTGGTGTCGACCTCATCATCGGAGTTCTCCTCGGCTTCGACGTTGATCGCTTGGAAAGCCGGCTATGTGCTGGGATTAGCTTGGGTCGCAAGGACGAATGATTGATGCCATTTCCATAGACGAACCATATTGTCGGCAGAGTCTTGCGACCGGATTGATTGAAACGGCGCTCTTCTTTATATGATAACGTGCGATGTAAAGGAGGGGATGGATATTCAAAATGATGTGCATCTATGCGAATGCGCAGCCATAATGACCTCGGGGAAAATCGATGCGCGTAGCTGCGAGGATTGACGCGACCTGAAATCAGGAACGTTAAATTGGTTGCTTGCTGGCTGTCGGTACGTATAGTACTGCACCAGCACACCAGCTACAGCCCACAGGGCACTTGCAGCTTTCGCGTCAGACTTTCTCGCCAGGGGTTAGCTCCCAGCTTCCAGCTGCAAACTCCCTGATAGGCTGATAGTGATACCTTGGGTACCTTACTCTGTACAGGACAATGAGACCAAGACCCAGGGGGTTGCGATCCAACTCGGTACAGGCTGGCAAGTCGGTGACAAGATCGATTTCCGCTCGAGCACATCCGACAAAGCAGTTTCCACCGCTATTATCACGAGGACTACTATCTGTCAGATATAGTATATTCTTTTACGTATATAAGAAGGGTTATGATGCAGAAGGGCTAGTAATTTTTGATACGGGTAGTAAAAGGGGTACTTATTCAAGACGTATGGGAAGAAAATCCATTTTGTCACCCACTTGGCTGGCTGGCATCTCAGGAACATGGCAACATGCGGCAAGCCGTAGTGTAAACCACCTCACAGAGCTTAGAGGTACCTAGGTAGAGGTGCATTGGACCCACCCGGTTCAAGGCCCGGCCACGTTTGAGTCCCGCCGGCCGTCGAATGGAACTTGGGAAAGCGCCCGTGGTCTAATTAAATCGTGGCTCTTTGGCGGCTGGCCCTGTCAATCCCCTCCAGCAAAGCAGCGTGGCAGCTCCATCTGCTCTCCATCCCGTCTGTCCCCTGCCAATGACAGACCTCAACTCCCTGTCAGTTGCACAACGTCAATCACTATTGAAGTGTTCCAAGCTGGCAGCAGGTTTCCAGTCCTGGACTAAACTCCTGGTACACATACGCAGTACGCAGTACGGAATACGGAGAAGGTAAGTACCTATGTACTAATACAGAGAGTCGTGGAGTCCAAGCTTGCCCACAGCGCCTGCCGTCACCACCTACCTTCATTCCCTAAGTGTCCAGTTCACGCCGCACGCCGCAATCCCACCTTGGTCCAAGTCCACCTTGCACAAGCTGTGCACTTCAATCCTCCATCCCTCGTCAATCTCACCGACCACACCTCGAACCGCCTCCGATCGCCAACACCCATCCCTCTACTCCCAGTCATCCTCTCGAGCGTGCGGGCCAGAATCGCTCAAAGGCGTCTTCTCCTGCGCGCACACATGCATCGAATCCTTAGCTCATAACACCGTATCCAGTTCATCCTCATCGAGGACATTGCTTCCACATTGCGCGCCGCCAAAGCTTGACACGCAACAATCGCCGCCATGGTTGCGCCGGCTGTGCCCGAGTGAGTCTGCCATCCTATCTCCATCTATTCGCTGTTTCTAATTCTAATCTATTCGTCAGGCTTACCGAGGAGATTCTCTCTGAATCAATTGAAGCCCGAACCGAATCCCTCATCTCCCTTCGCGAGCTTGGCCCTCCCGACCTTGTTCATCTCCTGAAGCAGGCCACGAGAAACCCTGGGAAGCAGGTAAATGATAATATACACTCAACGAACCTACACCTGTGCTAATTAGCCTCGTTATGTAGATCGGGGTCTACCACCACGTCACCGGTGTCGACGCTTCGTCCTCGGCCAGTCTTGCTGCCTACATCAACACCCTGACCTACCGCGAGCATGGCCAGGCTGTGCAAACAAAGATCTCGGAAGGTCTCTACTGGTATGCGAACCTTTTCAACATCGAGCCCGAGTTCAAGTAGCTAATCTACTGTTAGCTGTTACAATGCCTTCTCCCGACTCGACATGCGGGTCCACGTAACGATCCCTGGAACCGTCGAAAGTTACTGCGTGGACGAGCGAGGCGAGAAGCGCAAGGCGACGGACGATCTGTGGCTGGAGACCTACCTCTGCAGCGTCCTCCGAGCCTACTCTTACGCCGATGATGGTAGCGGAGAGACGATTCGGAAGATTATGGGTGTGCGCAGATACAACCCTGTTACCAACACCGAGACCGAACACCGCTTCCTCGGCGCCGCCGAGCAGCTCTTCTTCCGAGGTACGCATACATACACTTGAGAACACTGAAGGGTTCCTGAGCTAACGGTATCGTAGGCTGGCAGCTGGGTTCAGACTCTGTCGTTCAAGTGCCGAACAACGTCTCGAACCATTTGACCGCAGGCCTCTTGAAGTACTTCCAGACCACGGGACGCCATGCCTCCGGCATCAACCTCTTCGAGAAACTTAGAGACCAGAACATCGAAGTCTCCTCTCTTTTGGCCAAGGTTCTTTTCATGGGCAACGAAGAAGTACAAGGTGTCAAGGTGCTGCACCAGGCACTGAAAGAGTCGCCGATGGACTACGTTATGCTCGATACGCAGGCCGAGTTGCTCCTCAGAAAGGCGCAGACTGCCGCAACGCCAGAATTGAAGGAAGAGAGACTTCGCTTGGCCCTGGGCTGCGCCGACCGCAGCACTATTGCCGCTCCTAGTGAATTCGGCACATGGGCGAGATTGGCGCAAGTCTACGTGGCAATGGAGGACTGGGAGAATGCCTTGACCATCCTTAACTCTTGTCCCATGTTCACATACCAGGACAAGGACGCACCTCAGATGCCCGAACCGAAGGATGTTCACCTCCCAACTCTCCCCGAGACCCGTTTGGACGAGATCGACAGCGAACCCGAGTCTAGATACTCTGAGCAGGTCGATGCTAGTCTCCTGAACCTCCGTGCTTCGGTTTACAAGGGAACCTTCAAGCAGGCTTACGGCATCCTGACCGAGATGACTTCCAAGATTGGATGGGATCAGCTTCTCAAGATTAGAAGCACCGTCTTTGTCATGGAGGACGAATACCGCTCCGAGAAGCAGGAAACCTCGCAGCCTCAGCGTAACCCTAGCACCGACGGCCTTCGCGGAACCCCAGATCCGACGACAAATGGTGATCGATCAGACTCTGAGAGTGACGACGAAGAGGGAGATGATGAGAAGAAGGCGAAGCCAGCGGATACTGATTCCACTGCCGAGACGTTGGCACCAAATGGACAGACAGAGGCCGTGGAGAAGCCTACCCATGCCATCGACCCTGGTGAACTGAAGGGCGATGCGGAGAACGTAAGTATTCAATCTTTGCCTTGACTACAGTCGTGTTAACACTTTTCAGGGTGCGCAGACCGACGACCATCTCTCTAAGCTGAACAATAAGCGGCTTTGCGAGCGCTGGCTTGATAGCCTCTTCATGGTGTTGTATGAGGATCTGCGCGTCTACACGATCTGGCGCACGCAAATGGCCCAGTATCGCGCGCAATCTATGCAGTATAAGAAGTCGGCTGAGGAGTGGGAAATTCTGGGCTCTCTGGCGGAGAGACTTCAACACCCAGAAGAAGCTGTCGAGGCCTATAGAGCATGCCTCGCTGCAAGATTCAGCCCCAAGGCCTTGACTGGCATCCTCCGTGTGTTCGAGGAAGGCAAGAACACTCGCGAGACGGTCGCATCAGTCATTCGTCTCGTTACCTGGCAGTACAGATGGTACTCAGAGTTCTCACCAGAGCTTCTCCACACAGTTCGGACGCTCATTGAGGATGAGGGTGCAGTCAAGATCAGAAGCATCATCCAAGCCACCAGCCTCCCGCAGAACGTCCTCGACCTGACCCATCACTATGCCGCGCTTTGCGCCACTTTCCGCAGCAGCGGCACCGATGGTTAGTTTTGGGCAGTCTTATGAGCCATGGGGCCGAGCAATGGCATCGGCAAGACGGCGTTGATGAATCGGAGGGATTTTGTGGTTCAAGATTTTCAAGCCTAGGATGTGATTTGCAGGATGCAGTTGGGCACTCACATGTTCCACCATCACAGCGTGCATCCAAGTCTTGGTGACAGGCACGCTATGCTGGCTTTGATTGAAAACAAAAGAAACATAGGCCACCCTTACTTGGGATTCAGGGCTAAAACGCAGAGTCAAATGATACCTAGTTCTTCACTTGAAAGATGAGTTAAGATTGGACAATGTGATGTGAAAACAGAGGTTATGTATTGGATATGAGCTTACAACAGGATTCTAGACTGGTCGGCACTGGGCCTCAAACGCTTTCCGGAGCAAAGTGCCCGAACAAACGGAGTACACCGGGGCCGGCCCGCTCACTCAGATTCATCCTGCGTACAATGCCGATCTCGCAGCAAAGGTTTGAGGGGAGGGGGGGGCTGATATCACTTCTACGTCAAAGCGATGAAATTTCTGTCTTAATTGTGGCTGCATTGAGGGTCTCTGGAGTTTGGACGATAATGTAGTGGCGGCGTGGCATCTGGGTAGTTCGATCAGTGTCGATGAGATATCGATGAGATAAAACCGTCCCCACCAGCACCACATTTTGGCGGGTGTAGTGATTTCATCACACAGCGATGAGTGAGATCACGAAGATGACGTCGCCAGCTTTGACTTTAGATGGCAAGGCTGAATGCGAGTCGACGAAGACTACATAAGTTGATGATTGCAGACCGTAGAAAGCATAATCCTCATCATTACGCTACCAAGCAAACAAAACTACCAAACACAACCTTCAAGCAACTTTTTGACAAGCACCACCAATTCCACTTATACTCACGATTTTCAAACCACAATTCAAACCATTCCTACAACTATCACAACATTCAAAATGGCACCCTCAAAGGATCAGCTCATGGAGACGGCAGCCCAGGCCCAGCTCGACATGAACACATACCAATCCAAGACGGGCGCCGCCCGCCCCCAGGGTAACGACGATGCCGGCGTCTCCAACATCCAGACGGAGAACCGCTTCCCGGGCGCCACGGTGACCGTCCAGGGTGACCCCATCAACAACGTCTCGTACAAGCCCGAGCAGCCGCCCAAGAACCCGGCCGACAACGACGACGACGTTGTCCCCGCCAAGAAGATTTCCTCACTTGGCACGCAGGATCAGAAGGACGATATCCTGCTGCAGGGCGAGGGCGCCGTGAGAAACAACGTCGGCACCAAGGCGCCCGGTGTTGGCGGGGAGAAGTTCCGCGGTTCGGATTACTACGTTCCTGAAAGTGTGCCGGATAGCATCTCGGCTGAGGGGAACATTGCACCCGAGAGTGTGACGCAGGCTTCTGCTGAGGCTGAGAACCCTCGGTAAAGGATGAGGATTCGGGAGTTTGACATGGATTGCTTTTAGTTACGGGTTCTGGAAGAACACCAAGCATTGTATGGTTATTATGATCATGTTGTATAACAGTAATGAAGCTGCCAAAAGGCTGTAAATCAAATGCATATTTGCAACGCAAATCGGAAAAGCTCAAGTGATACAATTGGGAATGAAGTCAAGAGGCTTGAGTAAAAGCATTGCAAGATACCTTGGGAAAAGAACTTATGTTCTCCATCACGGAGTACAAAAGATCAGCCACCTGAGATGCGTTGCTATTGCATTCAAAGAGAAGTACCTAGACCTCAAACAAAAGAAAAAGCTCAGTCACAGAACGCATTGTAGCACATAAAGTCAGATTTGTTTAGCAAGGTAATCGGACTGTAATATTACTTCTCAAGAAGTACTTCTGAATAGCACCTTCGACTCTTCCTCCCGTTCTTGTAACGATATGAAATCCGCCAACGCCTCGCTTTTGAATCGATCCAATCCGCCGTCTAATCTATAATGCGCATGCCATGATACAAGAAAAGAGGATAATCAAAGAAGAAAAAACAAGATCAAGAAACGCCCTCAAGTAGCAGGCTGATAAACATCAGCAACAAACCGATCGCCCAACACCTCCCTAGCATCCCGACCCAACACCTCGCTCAAATTATTCAAGAAATCGTCAACGGCCCTCGGGCGAGCGCACGCAAACACAAGAGCGCCATCCTCGATGCTCTTGGCCAGCTTCTCCCTGACGCCAGCCTCGAGCATCGCATCCTGCGCCCTCCTCTTCTCCTTGTTACTCCCCGTCAGCCTCAAGATGTCGAGGATTCCTGCCTCGCTTGCTTCCTGCACCGCTTCGCGCACGAGAGACTCGTCGGCCGCCTTGAAGCCGGCGAAGAGGCTAATCGCGGGACCCTTGGCGGACTTGTCGCCCGAGGAACGAAGACGCTGGAGACGGTTCTGGAGGAGGCCGCGGACGGGAGCCATGCCGGATCCCGTCGTGAAGACGATCATGGGCTTGTCCTGGTTCTCGGCCATGGCCTGCAGGTGCGATGAAGGGCGGATCTTGCAGGTTGCTGCACCAAACGTCTCGAAGCAGTTGAGATACTTGTCCGAGAATCTGCCGTTGGGGTGGTGCTGTACCAGAAGATCCATGGTGTTTCCATTCTTTTGCTTCGTCCTCGAACCATCGGAGGCGATGGAGTATTCCCTAGGCTGGATCGTAGGCATCGCGTTACACAGCGCATCCAGCGTCACGGACTGTCTCCAGTTGGCAGGAATCTGGTGGACCACATTCTCGATAGGGACCTTGGCCAGGGTCTCGGGCTGAGGAAGAGACAGCCACTCTGCCCACTGCGTGGACTTGAAGGGCTGATCCAAGTCCGCAAACCGCTGGAAGAACTCTCCCACGGTAGGCTCACCGGGAAGACTCAGCCGCTCGTCAGCCTGCACGCCGAGAACGCCCAGGACGCGCGACACCTTGTTCTGGGAGTTTGGCGGCAGAATCCAGACGCTGCCCATGGTGGGGTACTCGCGATCGCCCAGGTCGAGGGTGACCCTCTTCATGCCGTCCGCAGCGGTCCCCAAGACAGGCTGTCCGACGACCTTGGCCTGAAACCACGGACGGGTGTC